GTAAGTTATGTTCTTTCCGACCCAAAGTTGGAGATAATAATGTTCAAAACTCAAAACATTGTTTTAGGCACGGCGATACGATACACGTACCACTATATTTTCACCAGAGGGTAATTTATTTTTAAGTTGCCTAATATTTTCAAAAGGTCGCCTCTATCAGGTGGAGTACGCAATGGAAGCCGTTGGCCATGCGGGCACGTGTTTGGGCATTGTAGCGAAGGATGGAATCGTGTTGGCAGCAGAAAAGCGTTTCATTAACAAGCTTCTTGATGAGACGGCATTCTCGGAGAAAATTTACAAAATTAACGACGATATTGCATGTGCTGTAGCTGGGATCACTGCTGACGCCACTGTATTGATAAACGAAATGCGCTTGATTGCTCAAAGGTACTTTTTAACCGTGAAGAACTTGTTAATCTGGCAACTTGTCTTATGTGGTGTGCTGTACCTGAGTTTCCACTGTTTGACATCGTGTAACCTGCGTGCCGATTATTAGGGCCCTGTGTTGTGATAATATTTCCTTTAAGATGACATCCAGGAGGTATGCAAATACGTATTAGCGCCATTTAAGCTACCTCCACTCTATAGGAAAGGTTAGTATACTGGAGTGATCAGTTGAACATCTGTGGTGTAAAAATAAAGCATTCGTTTAGAACTAGAAAAAAAGGTATCCAACCAGGGGTCATTATTTCCTTGAATCGGAAGTGGATACTCTGAATAGTGAGCGTTATCATCTCGAACAGGGACTTACTATATCCCCGTCACTTTTCTATTGAGATTCTGTGATCCTACCAAGGGCTGTGAAAACTACCAACAGTCAAGCCGTCTCGAAAATTTCCCACAAATTATCAAAGGGGCTTGGGAAGTTACTAGTGTGTACTATGGATATTTGGCCTCATCTACCTCACCTTTTCCTCAAGACACGTTTACTTTCGGTTCCAACGTTTTTCTATGATTAAACCAAGCATTCTAGACACCAATTTAACCTATATTTGGCATTTTGGTGTGACTCAAATTACAAATGACCTAGTTAATCCTATTTTATACGATAGACCCTTTCGTTACGGGCAGTTATAACAGCGGGCCGGGTTTTTCTCTTGCCTTCGTGGGTTATATGCTGTGGAAGCATATCGCATTAATACTCAGTCGGCCATTTGACGAAATAGTCCAAATTGTATGTTATGGTTTTATTTTAATCCCGGAAATGGCTTTTTTGAGTCAAGCTCTTTGAGTGCATCAGCTATTCTTGCTTGTAGCTATTTTGGTCTACATCTTCATTTAATGTGCCACACGAAATGTTTTCGTATATAGCTTCAAACGAATATTTTTGTATTGACCGAAAAATCAGGAATAAAGGTCGTTTGACTGCTAAATTTGTTTTTGTCTGACAACAGGTATCTTCTAAATTATCAAGAACCTATGCCAGTAGAACAGCTCGTCTGCCATATTTGCAATTTGCAACACGGTTTCACAATGTACGGTGGAAGACGTCCATTTGGTGTGTCAATGCTTTTCATAGGCTGGGACAAGCACTATGGTTACCAACTTTATCAAAGCGATCCATCTGGAAACTTCCTCGGATGGAAAGCTACCTGTATCGGATCTAGCTCCTCCGCTGCATCCTCCATCCTTGAATCAGACTATGATCCAGAGGCCACAACTGACGACGCAGTAAAACTTAGTGTGAAAGTTCTGCACAAAACGATGACGATGTCTAAGTTGACCTCTGACAAGGTTTGTTTGCTCTTCGCTTGCATTTTTATTTATTACACTCTCAACAAACTTCCTTAGGTTTGGATTCTTGCTCACTTATTTGGGCATTTAATGGAGAGTACTAAACCATATTGGAGTTATCATAAAATACAGTTAGTTCATGTATTCGAACGTATAAGCTATTGAGAAGAAAAGGACTCGATCGCTGGGACAATACGTTTATTCGCCTGACGTTTCGAGATCTGTCGCGGATTCTTCGTCAGAGACATAGATAGCAGTAGCAGATATGGGTCTTATGGTGAAATCATTAATCAGGACCATTCATTTTAATTGAATTTTCAGACAGGAGTCTGTGACTGTGACTTGTAGTAAACAACAGGCTTAAACGCTGAAATGCATTTCCTGTACAATATAAGCAAATCACCGCCCATCCTATTTTTAATTTAAGGTACTCTATCGACTGCACCCTGGAGGGATGTTGTACTGGTTTTGATCCAGGACGTGACCGTTAAACGAATGAGTGCAGCTCTTCCTCGTAGTTTCTTTATATGCCTTCTGATGGCATTCTCTGACTTTTTGGCTAAACCGCCTATTTTAATGCCCGACCAGGTTTCTACTGTTTGGTAGGTATTCCACAATAGTTGAGCATGTGAGGGCACGGCTTGGTGGGATGATAATTGCTGGAAGGAGTAAAAATCCGAAAATATTCGAGTTGAGATTTAAAGGGCAGATATCCGGTTGATCGAACGCCCACATGCGTGTCTACGAACTTTTTTTGTTGTTGGTAGTGCATTTTGGTTGACTTCGCTACATTCAGTCTCCCACCACCG